ACTCTCAAGACTGCAGCTGTTTTTCGACTAAATAGGAGATTTAGTCTTCAGATCTACCAGACTTACAGCTATGAGAACGTAAGATTAAATTAGATGAGTTTTTCTAGAAGTGTTCCACATGTTTATCAGGAGGACATCTTGAAAGCAAAAATGACAAAATAACAACAACAACAACAACAAAAAAGCAATAATAATGTTTGCTATTTGCTTCCTAGGCAATCTGTCAAATGCATGTGAGTATGGGAATTCTGACTACTGACTGATAGTTTGTTCTTCTGCAGGAGCTGCTGAAATATCCAGCACTTAAGTCAAAGCTTATGGCATATCAAATAATATCAGATAGGAGATATTTCATCAGCAGTGCTGTAGAAAGCAGTTGCTGGATGGCAGACGAGTCTTAAAGTTTTACTTTCTAAAATGTTCTTATAGTTCCAAAAGTATAAAAACAAACAAACAAACAAACAAAACAAAACAAAACAAAACAAAAAACCACAAGACTATGAAGAACAGCTATGAATAAAACATGATATGGGAGCCCATATGAAAAGGAATACAATTTTTGTTTCTTTTTCAGTACCTTTTGATGGTTTCTGACCATTGAGACTAGGTACTTTCCCAATTTTTCTGATTCCAATACTCCTCCTTTGTCATCAAATGAGTTTACAGTGGAATTATTGTTTTGTATTCTAGTCCGCATCAGAAGGGTGGCCAGCAGGGAGAGGGAGTTGATTGTCCCCTTCTACTTAGCCCTCGTGAGGCCCCATCTGATGTACTGCATCCAGACCTGGGGCTCCCAAACAAGAAGAATGTAGAAGTGTTGGAGCTGGTCCATAGGAGAACCACAAAAATGTCAGAGGGCTGGAGTACCTATCCGTGAAGAAAGGCTGAGGGAGTAGGACTTGTTTATCTTGCAGTATAGAAAGCTCCAGAGAGAGCACCTCACAGCCTTCCAGTACTTGAAGGGAGCTTATAAGCAGGAAAGGGATTGACTTTACAAGGGGTGATAGGACAAGGGGGAAAGCATTTAAATGAATAGAGAGGAGACATAGGTTAGATGTTGGCAGAAAATTCCTTACTCAGAGGGTGGTGAAGAAACAGGTTGTCCAGACTAGGAGTGGATATCAGCCTGCCCTAGTGGGTGGCAACTCTGGCCATGGCAGGAGAATTGGAACTAGATGATCTTTAAAGTCCCTTCCAACCTAAGCCATTCTATGATTCTGTAATTTTATGAAAATTGTGGCTTCATTTGCAGGAAAAAAAAAAAAAACATGGTTCATCCAGTTCTGCCAACACATGCATGTATGCATAGATCTCAGTATTCTCTAGATACCTGGGTAGTGATAACAGAGCAATTGCTGAGACATTTGCTAGCATCGAATAGACTATTGATAGCATCGACTTGAAGTTTGTTTTTAAAACCATACATTCGATTTTTCTTCTACACTCAGAAAAAAAAAAAAAAAACAACAGTTCTAAAAATCAAATAATAGTAAGTAAACATCAAATGAATGCTGCTGAGTTTATGAATCAGACTGTGAATTTTTTGAGGAAAGGACAACAGTTGGGTTCTGTACAAATGTTGCCATAACATGGCAGAAGAGATTATTATGAAAGATGGTAAATAATAGAACTATCCAGAGAAGACTAGTTTTCTGTCAATTAGGCAGGATTTCATTCTAAGTTGGAAAGATAAACAAATATCACTTAGTTCCATGAATAAATAAGGTTTCTGAGGCCTCTGGCTGATGTTCTGCATGGTCTCCAACCCACAGAAGCCAGCAGTGCTGAAGAGCTTCAAGCTGGGTGAAGGCAAGTAGCTCAGGCCCTCAGCCCTTGCCAGCTGCAGGGAGACTGCCAAGAGAGCCAGCAACCCAGTTGTCAAGACACTAGAAGGCTGCTTGTGTTGTGTCCTTTCTTTAAACATATCAAGTGATCTCTGCTGTACCATTTGGTTTTGATGAGTGTATGCTCCCTAAGGGAAAACATTTCACTAGAAAAGTTCTGACCTACTTGAATAAATGCATTAAATGAGAACCATTCCCATTCTTTGTCTGTGTAATTGCAGTTGAATCTGTGGAGCTGGACATTACTTATTTATCCCTCTTAGCCTTATTCCAGTTTTTAACTGCTGCAACTACTTCATGAGGAATCTTTGTGCTAGTAACCAGAGACCTCCATGCATCTTAAATATATCTTTCCTTCTTTATTTTCCTGCATTTCTATTTCAATAATTGTTTTTAAATAAAGAAGTAGACAATTAGTTCAAAGTCGACTGTTAAGAAGTCCCTTGGCTTCCCCTCGCTTTGCAAAGAAGTTGTAATTTTGTTTCTGCGTATGGTAAGAGAATGCTTTGGTCTTATATGAAAAACAGAAAGTCCTCACCCTCAGTGACTGTTCTGCTTTTGCTGATAAATCATGTCTAAATGAAAAAGAAAATAGAGCAAAACATATTGATGTTATCACCATGATTTCAGTTTATCTAAATGTTTTAAAACCTTCAAATTTGTTCCTTTTTAGTGGCTTCCAGTGAAATCTCTGGTGAGCAGCTAGAGTGGGCACACACAAGAATTACTGATATGAAGAACTTGAATGCTGTAATCAAACCTGCGTTCAAACACAGAGGCTTGCCTAGGCCTTTCATTTTAGCTGGTTGGTGCAGCAGTTTGGACAGAGTATGTCAACACTCCTAATTAAACTGGCAGCTAAATAGCAGTGCAGACCTTGCTGTATGCTACTATTAGCAGGACAACTCCTTCAGAGCAGATCAGCCAAAAGCCCAGTAAATGTCAATCAAAGTTCAGGCTTTCTACCTTGGCTGTTAATTAAGTGTCAGAATGCTTAAATTTGGTTCATTACTAATATCTAAGGGTTGTGCTATGCTTTCCACTTGCACAAATGTCGTTCTGAGAGTACAATGAGTGACCTAATTCTATATGAATACACAATTGAAAACGACAACCAGATTTTCAAAGGACTTTCCTGTATTTCAAAGTGCTGAGTGAAACATGGGCAAATGGAAGCAAAACTCTGACTTCTCATCTCACACTAGTCCAAATGCATTAGTCAAATCTAAGCAGAGGCTGCATCATTAAGGATGACATGATGAAGCACTAAAACTTTACTATACTCTACCAAAACACTGCTAGCCATTTAAACCACATCTGGTTTACTTTGAGAAGGTCCAAGACTAAATCACAGATTAACCCTATGTAAGAATTTTTCATGGAGGAATTTTCTGGAGATTCATCATTCTCAGACTTTCACCGCTAATTGAATAAACAAGGTTTCACAAAAATGTGTTTGCAAGACCACATCAATTTCTGCCCTCAACAACACATGAGCCTGCAATCAGTTTTCTTGCATAAAGATGAGACAGTATTCAGCTAATGAACACCTGCACCTGCAGATCCCAATAAGTTGGCAGTGAACAGGGGCAGCATTTTGGAAGGGTGAGGTCTGTGTGATGCATAAAGGTTTGGAGGCTTGGATAGAAGCAATCCTGTCGAAGGACAGGTGGGTGGACAGCTAAATGCCAGCTTTCATCCCAGGCACAAAGATAAGGTAGGCACGACAGGGAGGAACACCGATATTGCTTCTGTTTGCAAGTGAAAAGAGAGGAAATCTTTTCTTCTCTTCCTTCGGGGGGAGGGGGAGGGAGGGAGAGGGGAGAGGAGGGGAAGTAAACAGGATGAGAGCTCCGGTAGCCGAAGATCTGACCTTGAATATTGAAAGGCTAGAGGACAGCCTGTTTACAGAATGAGTAGATTGGGACTGCTAAACACAGACAGTTCTAAAAGCTGTCCTCTTTCAGGATCAGACGGAAGGCACTTTTCTTTCTAGTACAAAGCACAGGCTCTGTGCGAAGGCAGCTGTCTTATACTGTGACCATAGAGCAGCAGTCCAGCATGCACTCTGCTACACAGCCTTTGTGGTGAAGGCTCCAAGTGTTGCCCAACGTACACGCTCGGTGTTTATCGGCAGCTCCAGACAAAAATAGCACAGTTAGACTATCGAAAGAAAAAAAGAGCCGTGCAGAACGCTGTCTTTGGCTGAAGCTTTATTTGCATCGTGCCTCGGGAAGCCTGGAGCGCCGGCAGAGCGCATGACGCGCTGAAATTCATGAATGAAGGGCCCACATGGCAGGGCTGGGCGCTAGTGAGCCGCTCCGTTCATGAGAATGTCAGTTATGGGAATGAAAAATGCAAATGGCCGTGGCTCCGCTGGAGCTGATTCTCACGGCGTACTCCGCTCCCTATGCGCACGTTCATTCACAAAGACGTAATTTTTCGCGCTCAACGCGTTCCGACGAGCGCAGGGACCCCCGCGGCCATCTCCCCCGCGCCGAGGCGAGGGCGGCTGTCACGGCTCGTTCATAGCTGGAGCTGGGGACGAGGAGCAGAGCAGAGCCGCTGCCCCCCGGCCCTCATACCGCCCCCGCCCGTCCCCGTCAGCGGCGCCCGCGGGAAGCGGCGAAGTCCCCCGCCGCCTCCCACCCGGGTGCGTGGGAGCGGAGAGGGGGCGGGAGAGCGGCAGGAAGGAGCCCGCCCCCGCCGCCGGGGCTGCGAGAGAGCCGCCGACCGCCGACCTGAGGGCGGACGGCAGCCCCGGCCCCTCGCCGCGGGGCGAGGTCCCGCGGCCGCTCCCCGGCGTCCGTCACCCCGAGGCCGTTCCCCCGTGCCTCTCCTTTAGAAAACGCGCGTCTCTCACGGACAGCCGTTAGAAAATGCCCGCGTTTGTGATTTCCAGCCCGGGGAACGAGGGCAACCGGTTGAGAGGCGGAGCCGCCGGCGGGGTGCGTTGTTTCAGCACCTCACCCCGCGGACAGCGACGGAGCCCGCGGCGGCTCTACCCGGGCTGCCTCGCCGAGCTCCGAGCTCCGACCCGCCCCGGTGACCGCAGCCCCTTCCCCGCAGCCCGGTTCCCCGAGGTTTGCAACGGGGAGAGGTGGAATCTGCCCGAGAGTGAAGGCAGGTTGGGCAAACTTCGGAAGCCAGACTCACCCAGCACGTTCCCGACGAGAGCCACGATGAACACGACGATGTATCCGGCGATCAGCGCCCATTCGTATTCCTTGGGATGCAAATACTCCTTCCAGAGGTAGCGCAGGAACTCCTCATCGTCGTAATCGGCGGATGGAGTTAAAAAAGGCTCCCTCGTTTCGTTCAGCTCTGGAGAGGATGTCCAGTTCCTGCACGGAGGCGAAGCATCCTCGGGCTGAGTCCCGGACATCCCTGGTGGTGATCCGGGGGGCTGGAGGAACCCTCTCAGCGCTCCACAGCTCTCTCCCGCCCCTCCATTGAGACTTGTGATTGCCAGTGCCAAGCGGGGTGTGGGGAGAAAATGACGCGGGAACTTCGGGAACCAATGCCGGACCAGGTTGGGGCTTCGAGGCGGCCCCACACGCCCGGTTGCCTTTCCCCGAGCGGGCAGGGTGCGCAGCCTCCGCGGCCGCGGGGAAACGCATCCAGACGGTTGCATCCCTCTCTTCTGACTCCACTGCTTCACTTTTCAGCTCTCCCGTGTTTGGACGTGAAAGGGCATCTGTTGGAAATACCTGCAGGTGAAAGGACGTGAATTCGACGTGCTGCTGCACAGGAGACACAGGATGAAGGGAGCCATTCAAAATGAGACATTCGTGTCTCTTTGTGAAAGTTGTGTGACTCCACTTCTAATGAATAAACTTAACACAGAGCCAGATGTTCATGAACACTTAGCTCTAGTGGGCACTGGCTAAAACAGATGAATGGGAAAGTCTCAGCCAATATAAGCACCATTTCTACTATGAAATGACATGTCTCACTCAGTTCAATGTCTATATGCATCTCCAGAAGAATGTGAGTCTGCTTTGACTGTACTTCCAACACATAAACTTAAGAGAGAGCCAGATATTCATAAACACTGCAGTGCTTAGCTCTAGACAGTGCTTTAGCTTCCTGCATCCTTCGTAAGCATACAGCATTCCCTACTGCCTTCAAAGTCTAATCCAGCATTCTTCTACCTGGTGTTGCCTTTGGGCACCTATTTCTATAGACTTGCTCTCTTTGATGTAGTTTTATTTCCATAAAATAAAGGAAAAATATCCCTTTTCTATCCACAGGGAAGTTACATGAACCTTTTAGGACAAATATATTAAAGAATGAGATATACTTGGATATAGAGGTAAGATCAACACCTCGCATAAACTAGAAAAGTAGATATTGCAGACCTCGTAAATAAAGATTGGACACTCCTAACTAGTGAAAACAGCTGGGGTTATATCACTAAGTGTGCTGGGTTGAGTGCTGGGAAGAGATTTAAGGTCTCTTGAGAATGTGGAAATGCAGGTGTACTTGGTGCACAGAAAGAGATGTTTACAGAGTTTCTCATGGTCTTCACAGCTGACATGGCCATTTGGTGATCAGTAGAAGGAAGCCACACACATTCTTCAGCTTGTTTCATATATTAAAATGTTGATCCATAATTTCAATGTTTGCTTCCAAGTAGCCGTGAAGCAGTGTTTTTGTTTTGGTTTTGGTTTTTTTTGGACTGAGTTCTTCTTTCTTCCTCTCTCACCAGTAGTAAGGAATTGAACTAAAAAGACACAGATATTAAGAAACAACATGGTTTTGATGAAAAATATATCCTAGAGTTCTTTTTTTTTTTTCCCTAACTAGATTATGAGTTTGATTGATAAAGGCATAAATGACCGATTATACACAAAATCTGCACACAAATCTGCACAAATGTGCTATTCCTAGAGTGCTGTAAGACATTTGCTTTTACTGGTACATTACATTTTGATCAAGTAGACTATATAATAAAAAAATGATGCGCCACACATTATAAAGGTTAATAACTCCCTAACAAACAGATTCCAGAATGAAACAGTAAACAGAGCCATCCCTGAGCTCATGTATTTCTGCTGTCAGTTCTGGGTTCTGTTGCACTCATCAGTGAATGACCTTCCAGAAGTTGGCAAATTATCAAAAAATTGAGATAATCAGCTACACACAGCACCATCATGATTCTGTAGCCAGAAAGCTTTGTGTTATAACTGATAGTAAAAATAAGTATACCTGTAGAAACAGATGAAGATACATAGAAATATGAGAGAAACTCAACTGAGCTAGAATATGCTTCAGCCACAAAAATCTGCTACTGGGGAAATACTTCTCAAAGTGAGTCATTTTAGTAGTATATTTTAAAATCAAGATTGAATGCTTTTCTAAAAGATAAGTGCCAGCTGAAATGGGAATTAATTCAGAAAAGTTGTCTGACCTGTAGCATGCAAGAGGTCAGACTGAATGATTAGAGTAGTCCCTTCTGGCTTTCTAATTTGTGAAGATGTGTTAGTAAAATAGATTAATTTGATGAATTTTACCGCTGACTTATCTTTTAATTATATTATTTATAATAAGACTAGTGTAAGAGTTTAAATCTGTTTCTTTCATATGCAAGTGAACAATAAATGCTCAAAAGTAATTCCTATTTTGTTACCTTTTTTTTAATTTTTAATTAACAATTTAAAATTCCGTAAATTGTGGCTTTAAAAACTCCTACAAAGAATTTATTGGTTGTCCTGCACTTAAAAGGAGGATAAATTCAGGTTCATCTCTATTAAAATCGAGATCTAATGGAAATGCTGTCTAGTACTTTATTTATCTGAAGTCTTCACATACACTGATATCATCTCTAATCCATATTTTTCCATCACTAATCCCCAAATACTGCAATTATCAGCCCTGAAAGATATGCCCTGTGGCTTTCAGTGCCACTTATTATATGATATTAGATAATGTGAATATAGGTCAAACACAATTCTATGCTTTGTTGCATCTGATAGCTAAAAGGATCTGACATTCATAGAGAACAAACCAACTGTAATTCAGCATCCAAACTTAATGGCTAGTCAAGCATATTTTCCCTCTCCATAGTAAACATTCTATTGTTGATATACAATTTTATTGATTGCACAAATGAGCAGCAGTTTTTCCTGTGTAAAAGACTAGTCTCTTCATTTTAAAACTGATTTTATTCAGAGGATTAGTTTCATACTCTTCTAGTATCATATCACATTTGGAACCTTTTATCAGAACAGAATGGAGTCAAAAGTTTTTGCAGACTTAGGTTTAGAGGAAGCTGAGCCTTAGGATCTCTTGGCTGAATAATCAACACATATTTTCACTCTTGGGAAGCAAGTCCATAAACATGTCTGCTGAGGAGAAATAGACTGTAGTATTGGCAGTGGTGATGTTTTGTGTGAATATGTCCTTCCTTCCCATTTTTCTTTCACTACTCTGATTTAACAACTTTTCTCTGCCTCCTTTCTTGCTGTTATGAAATATGCCACATGACTGCTCAATAGAAAAACAGCCTTACCATTTATTTGCTTGAGCAATCGTGCTCAGTCATATACAGTGTTTTGTCTGTGAAATCCCTCTGGTATCTTTCCTCCTGTAATGTTATTTCAAGGTGGAACTACTGCTTCCCTGGCAGCAGCACTAAGTAGTTCTTGAAAGAATTTGACAATCATCAGCTAAACATTACGAAGAAGAGAAGATATTAAATGGGTAAACAGGGAGAAGCTGAGAGCAAGAGAGAGAGACAGATAGAAAAGGCCAGGTTTGGAAACCTCTGCAGCCATAAAATTTGGTGGGGTAATAAGATTAGTAACTACCAAGAAGGAGGTGCAAAGAACTGTAAAAGAAAAAATAATACTGTAGGCTTGTGAAAACAATGGAATTAATCAGAAAACCTTAGAAATGCAGGTAATGATGCTCCATCACACAACACACTTATAGCACCACATTTTCTTTAGTTCCCCTTTTGTCTTATCATTAATTCATTAATAAACTGTGGACTGAAAGAGCAAAACTAGCTTTAACATGACAAATATTATTCAAATCTGCTGCTGAATTTTTGTAACAACCACTGATACAGAAAAAAAAGCCTTGTTTAGCCAACTTCAGGCATTTTTCCCTTTACGTATAGAAACCAGAACAGGATCCTGCTTTATGCAATCCAACAGCATGCTAAACTACAGTTACCCAGATATATTAAGATTACCAGCTAAATTCTATTGATTTATTAGCTCCTAGCACCATTACAATGAGGCAAAGCCAGGGTGACTTGCTCTAATTCTAGCAATGATCAGATAAGAAAAGTCAGCAGCTGGCTAATTCATACCACCATCATTATTAATATCTATCAACACAGAAGGTATTTCAAGAGAAAAAAAAGTCTGATTCCAGCCTTCCAACTTGGTAAAATTCATAAAAATTATTTATTAGTGTAAGCACACAATTCCTCCATGCTTCGCTTAGGCCTCCTTATTTACTGCCAAATACTGAAAGGAGTTCACAAAAACGTTCGTTTTGATTAGGAAACTGAAAGAGCTCCATGTGTAATATTCACTACTCCATCAAGTATACAAGCATTTAAAAGCAAACACACTTAATGATCAGGCTACAGATCCAACCTCGGTGGAACAAATTACGATACACCTTTCCTGAAGAGATCTCTGAAGTATGTATGTACATAAGCTGGAAGAGGGACAATTTCAGTCAGCAGGATTTAATAAGTAATAAAGAAAAATCTCTTCTTCACCTCATGTTTATGTGAATACCAAAACTTGTTGTAGAAACAATGGCAAATTTATTACAAAATTATTCAATTTGTTACAGCTTCCACCAAGTGCTTAGATGAAACTTTTCACTTGAGAGAAGTCAAATAAAATTCAACTCCAAATACTTTTTTTTTTTTTAATAATTTCCCTGGTATCTATTCCTGATCCACTTAGAAGTAGCACAGGGTCTTTATTGTGATCTGAGACAAGATAGGTATGTTCATGCAGAGTATTTTGAGAAATAAGAATATAGAGGCACAAAGATCTTTTTGATCATTCTTTTTTATAATAATTATTTAAAAGAAATAAAAGTCTTCCATATGCATCTATGTATTATATGAAGATTTTAATGTCAGAGCTCTGGATCTATCCTTTGCTACATTCAGAAAGGAACAATCTATGTTCTTCAGAATGAAAATTCCAAGTAGGCAATGTGGATTAATAGCGGGAAGTAAAACAGTGACAAGGAAGTTTTTAAGTAATGTATCACTTTCAGTGCTATGAAAGGTAAAGGCCTGTTAGCCTGACCTCGGTGCCAGGGAAGGTTATGGAGCAGATTGTCTTGAGGGAGATCATGCGGCATGTGCGGCGTGACCGGGGGATCAGGCCTAGCCAGCATGGGTTC